GCCTTTTAAAAGAATTACGCGGAGAGAAAATGTTAATTTCATTATTGCATAGTTCTAAATCATTACTAAACATGAATTGTCGTGATGTTTTGACTTTTTTGAACAAAATATCAAAACATTTTCCTTAGCTTCGGTTGTTATCGAGAATGACCACTGACTTGCATTTGATTGGTTAGTGGTCATTTTGACATGTTTCGTTGATTCCATCTATTGCTTTTGCATCAACAGTAACTTTCCGGTGATTATCAGTTTACTGTCTGTTAAACTCAAAACAATGTTGCTCATTGTCATTATTATTTGTGACGCCAGAAAGACTCCAAAGATTGAGAGTGAAAAGTTTCGATAAATTTTATATAACCGCGTTCATCATGACCATGTTTCATTTCATCAGATTTGTAGGTTGATGCCACGGTTATATCATTTGTCCTGAAAAAACTTTCAATTATGTTGGCAATAAGTTTCTTTTTGAAAAGTTCGTTAAGATGCTTGATCGGATCATGGCTTTTGCACTTTGTCTTTTTGATCAGTCAGGTTGTTTACGGTTGGTACTCTTTCACCTGAAAAAAATGATTTCTCATGTAACGAAAAAGCTATGTATAATACCTGATTTCAGATATCAAAAGATATCCTGTCTTTTCCTATCCAATCATTCATCACCCTCATGGCTACAGGAAGAGATAATGTAAATGAAGATGAAGATTCTGACGTGCGTCTTCTGCACGAAATGGGCTATAAACAAGAACTTTATCGTGGTTTTTCATCGTTCATGTCATTTGCCTTCTGTTTTTCTGCTGTGAATGTGTTAGCATCGATTTCAATCGGTTTTACCTATTCATTGAACACAGGTGGATCAGGTGTTGCGATTTGGGCCTGGTTTATTGGATCTTTTTTTACTATTCTTGTCGGTCTCTCATTGGCTGAAATATGTTCCGTTTATCCAAGTGCCGGATCTGTCTACCACTGGTATGTAATTGATGAGGGAGAATCCATAACTGTCGAATCCTTTTTGACTTCATATTGCGACTATGATTAGACCTTTATTACACTACGACAAGCACAAATAAGTATTGGGTCCATGGCCTGTTTGTGAAAACTTATGGCCATTTTAGTGCATTTTTAACCCATAGCAACACGGGTGCGTCCTTTTTCGTCCCTGCTCTTCCGAACGTCCGGCTATTTGTTCGGATGTTCGAAATCGACTATAGAGCATAATATTGTTTTTCCGGATGTTCGGAATGAATTTTGGCGTCTGTTTTTAACATAGAAAAGGATCCATTCATATAGTATATTTTAAGACGTTGAGTGTAGCGATCTCTTTTTGTACAGTCAGTTAGAGTTTTCTAAAGTAGTGTATAGTTCAGTACTGAACGATAGATCTTACAGATAGATAGTGTAAATGAGTAGTAAAAATAAAGATCCTCTGTTGTGCAGAGGCTAGCATCTCGAACATGATTGTCTGAGACGGTGATGACAATATAAAGCAAATACCAGAAAAGAAAAAATCAAGACATGCAGTCAAAAAACATTAGACATAATAAATTTTTTTTCTCTAATAAAAGATAATTACTCTCTCATTCTATTCATTATGTGAAAGGAAAGTGATATAGTAGAATTGTTATTATTAATACGTGTGAAATATTAAAACTTGTATAGTTATTTGTTGTATTGTGATTTTTTTTGTACAAGGTTATACTAGAAAATAAAAGAAAATAAACTATATTACAACGAACACCGGCTCTTTTCTGTTCCGAACATCCGCCACCGGCTATTACGTACACCCGTAGTTTTCATTCCGAACATCCGTCACTTTTTGTACCGAACAGCCGTCATTTTATGTTCCGAACATTCCGTATTTTTCGTTCTGAACACCTGGACGATTTTCACTCGGAACATCCGGGCTATTTCAAAACAACTGGGTTTCGGAACGGTCATCTATGTCCGATGTCCGTAAAAAAAGGGAACGAAAAGGGAGCGCCCCAGCAACACATTTTTCGAAGAAACCGAGATAATAAATTTTGAACTAAAATTTTTGCCTGTAGATAGAGCTGAAGTTCGATTTCAACATTTTTCGAAGATAAATGTATAATGTGTCATCAGTTATGAGTTAGTATCTGTGAAAGGTAGTCACAAAAATGGGTTGAATTTTTTTACTGATTCCGCTTGTTTTGATTCACTTCAACATGTTGCAAATGCTTATATCGTTCGGTTTACGACAACATTAACAAGAGCTAAATTCAATCTTTGACGCGCTTTTACAACATTGTCTTTTATAACGATGACACTAATCCGGACAATATTTTTAATTGATAATGGACGGCTGAAATAGCTGTTGTCATTATTTTCTAATCAGATTTTTCACATTTCAGATTCAATTGAACCGATTTCTCACAATACTACTCTAAAAGTTCTTCTGCCGCACACTAGTAAAAGACTACATGAGGTTTTCTGAAAGCTTGAAAAATCTAGAAAATGTAAATCTTCATCATAATTCTTAAAAATTTGCTGTACAAACAACAAATAATTAATCGTTTTGCATCGAATAAAAAGCTCTGTTTCCACAGTATTCAAAATTTGTAAAACCCCAAAATATGTGTTTAACAAAATTTTTAATTTTCTCTGACTTTTCGAAAAACATTGCTTTTTCACTGACTGCTTCATCATCTGTAAGTGTGTCTTGAAGTTTCGATTGAATACTAATCTCTAGAGGTTGTTCATTCCAATTTGATCTGAAATAAATTATTATCGATTGAGAAATCTAAAAACTCGAATCTATTTCTAAATGCCAATGAAATGAACAGAATAAGTCGATTTATAGTTATTTTCGATCACCAGGCATCAAAAAATCAATATCTGCACAATAGAATCTGACAGAACTAGGCTTCAAATTGCATAAAGATAGTGCAAGCACAATTATTTGTAGCCGAATGCTTCCTGGAACATACTTTTATATTTGTTTTGTTAATGCATAAAAATCAAAAGACCTATGAGAAAAAGTTTACACTGCAGTTTTCAAACACCATTATTCCATTTTATGTAGCTACTTTATTTCATGCTATATAAGTAGGACAGCTGTTTTAGTGCAACATTGTCTGAAATTGCACGAGGCCTTCTTTGGTAATTAAGTAATCTGATTAAATGTAACTAGAGTCCGATAAGGTAAAGGTAAAGGTATAGAGTTTTAGTTCTGTACACACCCTAGTCCCTGAATCTTCTTCATTTTTCAATTATTTAGAAAAAAATTGTCCCACATAGTATGCAGAGCAAACATTTCTCTACCAACCTATCTTTTCAGTTCTCGAAAATGTCCTTAGGAGCTGGTTCACTCTAGTTTTTCCTCAGACCAACTTCAGTATTTTACGTTTATCTCACGATGGGTGTTTGTAGAATTGCATTCATTCCAGTTGTGTAAGGCAGTATTTCTAATGACAAAGTGCGCCATATATAGTAAAGTGCGCGGAATATCTGTTTTTTTGTAAGCGCACTCTGTTTACACTCTGAGTAAAAAAAGAAGGTGCGCGGTGCGCACTATGTTCTGCATATACTGTTCTTTTTCTGATTCTAAAACTCTTCGGGAGAATCTTGTTGATATACACAAAGAAGATGATAGTTTTGAACTACAACAATCAACTTGAGTGATTCAAGACGTTGATAGTGAATGATCTGAAAATAAATATAAGATCGACAATTGTACGTATCTTCTTTTTTGTTTTTCTTCAAATAACTATTTTGAATTACTCTGGGGATTAAATAAGGACATGTTCGAAAGAACATTTTGATTCTTGTGATATTAGTCTCTTTTTCAGCTGCTTTTCATAAACATTCACTATATATAATCTATTTGAATGTCTTAACGTTGGTCGTAAGTAAAAATGTCGAAAAACCAAAATGTCGACAACAACAATAATACAAATTTCGAAGGGCAGAGATGTCGAAAATGACAGTGGGAGTAGTCATCATCTTTACTCTTACATGCTCAACTTCACACTCATTTTTGTTTTCGACATTTTTATTTGGCCAAAGTTGTGTTTGCCATTTATTTCACCTAACTTTGTTGATACAAGCGCGGCCGGAAAAAAAGCTTCATACAGAAGACATTATGCTCTTGGAAAAAATTTCATAAACTTAATGATTTAAAGAAGAAAGAAGCAACCTATTTTGCCATGAAAAAGCGTTCAAACCCTGTATTTTAACAGAGTCTCACTAGTACTTGTTAAATTGAGATTAAGGTAGAATAACTTGTGAAACTCCGTTTAAACACAGGATTGGTACGCGTTTTCATGACCAAATAGGTAGGATCTTTCTTCCTTAAATCTTTATATTCATAGGAATGTTCACATGAGATAGCTTCATTTGACATTGTTTTGTTTTCTAAATTGTACGCACTATGTACACTTTGTCCAAAATTTCAGAGTGCGGAAAAAATTTCGTCGCAAGACAAAGTGCGCAGTGCGCACTCTACATGAAGTTCTCATTAGAAACACTGGTGTAAGGGCATATTTCCAGTCATATAGCTGAGACCAATAAAATCAAACTTTATGTTTTGTTCAGTTTGATTTTAAAAGGTTTTTCAGCAGATAATCGTCCGAGCATTTTTTCTACACCCTGAAATATCTCTAACCAAAATTTCAAAATTCAAGTACTTTACTTGAATTTGTTCGAAAATTCGTTGTTTTCGATGAAAGATGCAGTAAAAAGGTAATGAATCCTTGCTCCACGAATAGACATTGAGTCTAAGCACATTTTAACTGGTAATAGTCTAATAAACACCATATCGCTGCCATATTATGGAGTCAAGCAACGTTTAATACTTGTGAATGTTCCATTGAGAAAGTTGTTGTCGAATCGTTTAGTTACCGAACGAGATTTTTCTCTAGGGCTGGCCAGCTGATGATTGCTCGCCATGCTCCATTGGCTTCCTTCATATGCGGCTGGTTCAACTTCATCGGTAATATTGCAGGTAGAAAAGAGAATACTATTCAAATGCTTAACATACTTTGTATATGAAAGGCGATGTTGCATTTTCATCCGGATTTACTATGATTCTCAACGCTGCTATTATTGTCGCTGGCAAAGATTCGTTGAGTATTGGAGCTCAAACGGGCATTGGTGTCGGGATAACATTTATATGGGCCGTGACAAATGCACTACGTATCGATCAACAAGGCTGGCTTAATAATATCGCTGTTATTCTTCAAATTAGCTCGGCAATTAGCATTGTTGTTGTTCTCCTCGTCATGGTACCTCAACGAGCTACTGCTCAAGATGTTTTCACATCCACATACAATGGTACCGGCTTTCCATTTATATACGTTTGCTTTATTGGCATCCTTCCAGCACCTTTTTCATTCTCCGGTTATGAAGGTAATATTTTTGAGAGTGAACATTCTGTGTCATCTTCGAGTTTTGTAGCCGGTGCTCATATGGCCGAAGAAACTCGGGGTGCTGACCGTGCAGGTGAGTTAACATCTGAGAAAATGATTGACTCGAAAAGCTTGCAGCCGAACTTTGTTCGACTGGGAGAATATTTTAATATCTGTTTTTCTTACAGTTCCAAAAGGAATCGTGTGGACTTGTGTATGTAGCGCTATTGTTGGCACTACTTATTTACTCGCTCTACTCTTTGTGATTCCGGATGTAGCATCATTTGTGAACAATAACAATAGTGATAATACCACGCTCAATTTAGTCGTTGCTACCTACCAAGTGGCTGTACCCCATCAAAATGCACTTGGACTGATAATTCTTCTCCTACTCAATATATACTTTGCTGGTCTGTCATCATTAACTGCAAGTAGTCGAATTGGGTAGAGAGCTGCTCTTCTCTTTTTTCTCTTTTATGCCAGGCATATTGTTTATTTCAGTTTTGCCATGGCTCGTGACGGTGTCTTCCCATTCTCGGCCTATCTTTGTTGGATCTTTGAACCGACTAAAACTCCACTAGTCAATGTGATTTTTGTTTTTGTCATCGATGCTTTACTTCTTTCACTCCAATTAATATTGTCTACTGCCTTCAACGCTATCATCGCTATTTCCACACTCGGTTATCAGATCTCCTATTTCATACCTATTTTACTTCGATGTACAGTTGCCCGACATAATTTTATGCTTGGTAAATTCAATCTAGGTCGATTCGGTCAGCCCATCGCTATTGTGTCATCAGCCTGGCTTTTTATCACATCAATTATTATGTTCTTCCCATCGAATTACCCGGTGACAGAGAAAAACATGAACTATGCTGTGGTAATCATTGGTGGTGTATCGTTGATCGCTACAATCTATTGGACTGTTTCCGCTCGTCATTGGTTTATGGGTCCCAAACGAACCAATATCGATTCCGTTCCATTGTTGCCGATTTCTGTCACTAACAGAGACAGTGAAGAGACCTTGCCATCATCCGATCTTATCCGTCCTTGATTTGAATAAATATTGATGATGCATTTAGTTAACTTACTTTAACGATAGATACTTATTCCTTTCATTAATTCTAACACTATCGCTCAAATAGAATGTTAATCACACTACGGCATCCGTATTTGAGCTGTAAACATGCTGTAATGTTACCCAACCTTCGATATTTATGCTCCTGATGTCCCCTCTGAGATATAATGTTCAGTATCTTGAATAATCATGCTTTCTCGTCACATTTACTCCCTAATATATTTTGTATCAGAAGAAAAGTTATTGAAAAAATGAAATAAATGGACTATGAAGACATGAAAATGAAGATGTTTTTAGTTTTCACTCTAGACACAAGCAAGATCGAGATTAGAAATTGAGCAGTTTCATTATTGCGATCATGACTAAAAATAGAGAACTAGAATGTAAAGTACTTATCGATGAAGAAAAAATTATAAATGATAAACGCACAAAGAAAGGTCTTCCCTTTCAACTACGCTCGATACAACATTGAATACTGCCATGGTAGATAATTTGGTCATTTCAATGTATTATTATATAGATCGATACAAAAAAAGAAGCCATGCATAATAAGCGCTAAGAATGTATTTAAAATTTTTTTTCAAAACTCTTGTAATAACTTGATATAATGAGTTTTCATGGTTGTTGATGATTCTAAATGCGTAGAATTCCGTAGCGATAAGCTATCTCCTTTTAATTTATTTGACCATGACAAAAAGCTTTGTCTAGCGCATCGAAATGTTTGACTGATTTAAAAAAAATGAAATAGGTACTTTCCAATGTATCAAACGAATTACTGTAATATTCATGTTAAATTCTTCTCAGACGCTACCAACAATGAATAAACTTTGGTAGAATAAGTACTTCACGTTCCTGAGGAAAGCAGGAAATATCTTCGATAGCAAAAATTGTCGATATTGCTTCAAGTACATTGAAAATACATAGAGCCCTATTTTCATTTTCCTTTGGCGGACTTTAAGTTGCGAATTGCAGAGCAATCAATGGATCTTTTGACGTAGACGTGAAAGATTTGAAGCTCAGCACATCTTTTGTGCTCCACGTTTATAATTGTCAAATTCAACGGTTGATAGAGTGATACCTCGATAAATAATACCGGTGAATGTACGTTGTTTCAATTCATTACGACGCATAAAAAATTTCAAGACGAATCAGTCACACAAGTGGGGACCGATGTGAGCATTCATTGATGAATTTACTAAATGTTTATTGAGTGGGCAATATAGAATAGGATTGTCACTTATGTACAATGTGATAAGTGGTTCGATTGAATTAGAATATTGTGCTTCATTTATGAATTTCATTGTTAATTAATAATCACTGGAATTGGACAAATTATGTTCAAGAAATTGTTTAAAATCAGTATGTTTGTCTAAATTCAATGCATCGATATGATAATCGTCACTTTCCAGAAAGTTACGAATTTTTTGAATGTACCAATTATAAAATTTTAGCCACATCGCCAATGCCTGTTGATTAACCGAATGTTTCGAAATGTCATCGTTCGTTTGAAAATCATGTACATAATCAAACTTAACGTGAACGTTTGTACTATCGTTATACTTCAACGCAACATATATTTCTACAGAATGAGCTGTCCTTTCATCATGAAAGCGATCTGATGAATCTGGCCTATGCAACAGTTGTTGCATTTCAGGTGTTTTCGCTTTGTCATATGCGATGTTTCCAAAAACATTCAGTGTATATCGACAAGAGTTTCGTTCAAGTAAAATTTTCACGATCTCTATATGGTTTTAGAATATTGCTGTATGAAGTGGTGTACTACCGTTCGGTTGAAGTGCATTTAATTCCTCAATCGATCGAGACTCAGGAGTATCGAGGATTTGACGTACACGTTCGATTTCGCCATTATAATAAAGGAAATAGAAATCCGATGCTTTTCCTGGAATGTATTGTCTTCATTGTACTTCTTTGTTTTTGGAGGCCATCATAACTGCAAAAGAATTTGCTCGTTCGTTTCTGTTTTTTATAGCATTGAATAATGAATGAATCGCTTGCATTTTTAATCACATGTAATGGAATATCTGAAGAAACAAAAACTATACCCATCGATTACAACTCTGGTCTTTCACAAAATTAAATACAGCATCAGAACACAAAAATGGTCGAACCATACTTTTTTGATGAAGTTTTCAGACGAGACGACTCAACTACAATGACCAAATTGTTAGCTACGATGACTTCCTAGGTTTTTGTATAGTTTTGGGTTGTTTCATTCTAATCTGGATTTCTTTCCGTCAAGAACGATCGATAATAAGTTCTAAACTGTAGATATTTAAAAAATATGTTTCTCCTGGATATTCTCAGCATTGACCGCTTTGCAACTTTCTACAGCTATTTATATTTCTCACTTGGACAAAAGAATTTTGAAGCTTGATTGAGAAACCACGGTGCTGGAGTCAAAATAAACAAAAAAAATCCACAGCTGCAAAAGACACACGTCCTTGATGATATACTGTATTCTGACTCTAGTATCCTTATTTCTCAAGCATAGCTGATAACTCTTTCACCAACATAACCAATTAATACAGACAGCTCTGAAAGTCTAACAAGCGATGAAAATCTCAAAATCTTTTCATTGACTACTGAAAGAAATATACAATATTTTTCCCAAAAAGTTTTTGAAAAATCTCACAATTCCAAGGTCCATAATCATCCAACGAGTTCTCAATTATATTAGTGAACTCTATCTTCAACGGGCTTGCAAACAGTAAAATAATCATTGCAGAGGCGTGCGTAGTTTGTGCTCAACCTACCTGAAAAAGCATTTTTTCTAATGCTATATATAAAAACAAAAGGTTGGATCACCTTTGATTTTTTTTATTGAAGGTGACAGAAATTTGAACATGTCGATTACGGTTTGTGGTAGTCTAGTAAATTTGTCAACAAGTTAGTTTATGCCTTCTGGCAACGACTGTGAGAAATATTTCGAGATTTCATCATCGTACTCAACGTGTCTTCAAACTGTTTTACATTTCTGCAATATATTAACTGCACTAAAAACTGTTTCTGCATTGATTAATTCAAAAGGTCATAATGCACTTCGATCTGTGGATGTGAGTATGTGCGTAATAGTGAAGATAAGTTCCTCACCCTCACTCGCATTCATACCCATCTACACAACGATGCCGACGCTGACACCTTACAAAAATATTGTTGATATGCTTGTATGTATTTATTTGTGAGAATTTTGACACTCTTCTTGACATTTTTATAACACTTGTACGTGATTCATGTATTTTTTTTTATTGATCTTTATCGGCATAATTGAAAAATGACAAGAATGTTAATTTGAAGATAGAAATCACTTAGACAGATTTTGCAGGAATAGGAACGTCTACCTGACTATTCCAATGTCTATTTAAAAAAGTTACAATACTATTAGCCACTTCTTCAGGTTTGTCGATAGCCATGAGATGGCCGCAATCATCGAAAATAATCACTTCTGACCTTGGTATTAATTTTGAAAAGTATTTTGCACCGTCAGCAGTATATAACTGTAAGAGTAATTAAATTTTTAACCTTTTGTAAGATATTTTTTCGTAGGGAAGCTTACTTGGTCTTCGCGACCCCATAGAATCAACACTGGACAAGTGATTTGATTGAGCTGTTGGTATCGATGGTCAAGATATGGATAGTCGTATTTGAGAAGCGATTTTAGAACTTGATGTGATTCAAATAATTCTTATTGTACAAAAGATTTTTAAAATTTGATAATTACCGTTCTTTTGTTCTTCGAGTAATTGAAGTCGTAAATAAAGAAATCCATTGAGAAGCGGTCTAGGCAAACCGACTGGTTTTACTGCTAAAGAATGTATCGTATCATAGAGTTGTTCTGTTGTTTCTGGAAGAATTATTTCATAACTGCCCTGTCGTAAATGTTTCATTCGACCAGTTTCACACTGTTCGTCAGCTAAAATATTGAAAGTGAATGTAAATTATGTGTATCGTATGTTGTGAAAACTCACCAGGTGGTGCGAGCAAACTAATCAAGCTTACATAATTTGGATACTTGATCGCAAACATGGATACCACGGCACCACCCATTGATGCACCAATTATAAACAGCGACTCAGTTAAGTTCATTTTGTCAAAAAACTAGAAGTACACATGTTCTGTAGAATGTCATTAAAAATAAAAAATTATGATTTACCAATTTGAGTTTTTCAACAAATTTATCAATCGTATAGAACTCTTCTTTCATACCAATTGTTTCTCCATGAGCAGGTAAATCTACTGTAATACAATGATAATTGTTTGGAATATTCTAAATAAAATAAGAGCTATTTTTATATATAACACATGAATATTGATAAAAGATTCGATTTACTTTAACGATTGGTAGCCATGCTTCTTTGTTCGATGTAAGTCCATGAACAAATACAATGGTCGGTTGTCCATCTATTTTCGAACCCCTTTCACAATAACTGAACATACTCGTTGCATCATCATTAATCGATAGATACTTCTTTTGCAGACCAGCACGAAAAGTAGTGAGTCTTAATTGACAGTTTTCTGTGATTAGTTTCACCTACATTTTCTATTATTTTTCTGTTACTTACTTATAATAGCATCGCGTAAGCCAGGTCTGCCTATAAAAATCAATAGAAATTCAAATCATAACTTTTATGAATCTTTTCAACTAAAGATATTTCCTTTACATGTCTCGACTGTCCTTTGTTAATGTTTATGGATTGGTTCTTTCTCGTACCTAATACAAATGAGAGCTGAAAAAGGAGAACACAACGGTGTGTTTTTTATCACAATTCATCTCACATAGTCAAAATCATATCTGTCACGGTAAGAATGATAGTTGTGGGCCGCAATCATTTACATTAAATACGTTGAATATTTTCACCTACACTACCATAACTGATGAAAGTAATTAGGTTGCAAATTTGTTTCTTAATTAATTTCGTTTGAAGTTTTCGACTTCATTACTGTGATTCATTAAAGCAATTAAGTTTGAAGTTTCTACACCAATTGATTGCATTCAAAATTTTCACCTACATCACTGTAATTGGCGAAAATAATTAAGTTGCAAACTTGTATCTAAACTAATTGCGTTTGAAGTTGTCAACTTCATTATTGTGCTTGATTAAAGTTATTAAATTGGAAATTCATACCTCAATGAATTACGTTGGAAGTCAGCAACTTGCCTACTGTGATCGTTCAGAAATAATTGACGAGCCATCTTTTTCTCGACAATAAAATGTTTTGTCGATTTTCAGTATCTTGTTTCGTAAGAGACACTAAAATGTCCGCTTTTGAATACTATATGAAGCATAAGGCATTGCAAGCCGCGATCGAAAGTTACTGTTGAAGAGCATAGCCAGAAAAGTAACTCCACACCCCCCAATCGCACAGATCGCAGCAGATATATCACTATCTTTCACATTCTGCGACAGTTTCGAGTAATTTTTCTCACGACCAAGGAACCAACAAGTGTCAGAAACGTATTTAAACGGACTAAAACTAAAAGAAGAGATGGTTTTTCTCTAATCAACAAGAACTACAATTGTGCATAAAAGACGACCATTTTTTTTTCTTTTTTGTAGATTTATATGCGCTTTCGACAACGTGTGACTGCAAAGAGTCGTTCACAGCTTGTGACGATTTGAGAGCATTTTGACCTGCTAGTCTTTGGCTCACGAAAATACTGTGATAGACGTTATTAGGTTTTGTCCGTCTTCAGTGAAGTATCTTCGTCATAGTCCGTATTTTAATTCCGTAGAAATTTGCCTGAAAGCTTTTCTATATGATTAGCATTGGTAGTCAATGCAAGTCGATTGAAGTTGCATGTAAAGTGATTATTTATGCACACATCTGAACAACGAACTTTTACTTTTTCGATGAATAAAGATAAAATTCGTGAAGCTGTTCTTGGTGAGACCAATATGACTTTTGAGGGCGAACCATTTATATGTCACTCTGCGTATGAGCAGCTTCCGTTGAACGGTCGACATTGGTCGGTAGTGGTTAGTGAGGCTCGTGCAGTTGTACTCATTGTTTATGATTCAGATGAACATTGTGAGCGATATAATCATGCTGCTCGATTCTTCAATGAACAATGGTTGGGATGTGTAACCTTCGACTTATGAGGTCATAACTCTTCGAGTGATGCATGTGACTACTTTCCTCACATCGATGCTGTACTTGATGATCTCGAATGTATTATTCAATACATTCGTATTCGACTTTATCCTGATATTCCAGTCGTCATCTATTCCCGTGGGACAGGATATGCGTTATGCCTAATTCATGGTATTCAACGGCATGAAATGCCTCTAGATTGTCAGACTATAATTGTAAGCATACAACCGACATGTCTTAGAAAACGTCCTTCAACAATACAACTCTTCTTTGTGCGTATGTTGACTAATTTGAATCCTCACTTACGCTTACCTATTGAGGGCAAATATACAAATGTCTATATGAACGATCCGATTGTTGTGGAAGTTTATCGCAAGGATACACATGTTCATGATCGGTGATCAGCAGCGACTGTTACTATTCTGATGAAAGTCGAACAGGTTTTTTGAAAAAAAAAGATTTTTATGCATCATGCCCAATATTGATTCAGCATGGAAGTGCTTACAGAATCACACCAGTTAATTGCATTCGGAAGTAGATGTATGAACGTGTTAGATGTGACGTAACATACAAGGACTGGTCAGAACATTACTGTGAACTACATAATGATTTTGGCATATGCAGTCAAATTGATACAGAAGAAATTAAATGTTTGATTGGACTACTGTAGTATTTTACATTTTACATTTTTAACTAATGAAACTATCAACGTGGTGTGTAGATTGAACACTAAATTACTCTAAAAATTCAAATTGGCAATTTAAAACAGCTTAGTGTTGGATCAAGCTTCAAGTTGTATATTCTTACTAACCATTTTTGAGAAAAGAAAAGCGAGTCTACGCTGAACACCATTCCAGTCTAGGATTATGTGATCAATACTATCTCTTACTTTGAATTTAGCTTAATGTAAAAAGGCTAGGAATTTCGAGTAAAGACAGGAGTGCGAGTGAATCAATGAAAGTAGTTGAGTGTATGGGTATGGGTGTTTTTCTACTGTTTACTCAAACTTATCCTCATGCCTGCCATCATCCCACCCCTATGGTATGAGCAGAATCAAGTTTGAAATTAACGCAGTGACAGCAAGCTGTATCATGGTGAAATTTTTCTAAAACCAAACTAGATCTTAGTCTTCTTCAGTTGCATAGTTTGCTGACGAACAAGGAGAGTTAAATTGTTCTGTGGATTAGAGAACGGATGCTCTTCGAAATTCATCGAAGACTTGATATAATTTTGGATGCATCTCTTCAATCGACTTCTCTTCCTCAATGCCATTAATAATGCTGATTTCAAGCAGATATGTACGCAAAAATTTGTCTCTACCAAGGAATTCATTCAATTCAATCGGCTGCCTACTTTGTGAAGAATATCCACTCCAAACGAAACTAGCCATGAAAAAAAAATTATAAAAGCTTGTGCTTGAACGCCGAATTTTAGAGAAAAAAAACGATATTTTTGCGTTTAAATGCATCATGTTCTATTTTCAACGCGTCGGAACGCATTCTTTTCAATTCACAATGCATTGAAACGCATCGTTTTAATTTGCAACGCGTTTTTTCAACTTAAAACGTCAACTAAAAACAACGTTTGAACGCGTGATAAGAAAACGCATTTTCGTCTCCAAGAAACGCTATCAAAAACATCATTCGAACGAGTTTTTTCTGACATGTATTTAAATACATTTTATAAGTCAAAAAAGAAATCTTCTTAAACAAACGCGCTAAAACGCGTTCCTTTTGCTGAGTATGGCTTAAAAAATTAGTTTTTTTTATAAACGCGTTGAAGCGCTATGTTTTTAATGCATTTTTTCCTAGAGAAAACGGATATTCTAGAGATGCGTTGAAACGAAATATTGAATTTATGTGGTTTGAGTAAAAGGATGTGGGTGTAGTTAAAGGCAAGAGTAAAACCCACAGTCACACCCATAGCATATACAATATTCTGGTCATAACCCTGATAGATTTTTTTTTACAAAGCGGTTAATAGATATATATATATATATATCATTGAATCTTTCTACATCTTAAACAAGATGGCTTCTACTTGAGTATAAAAGATTAAGTCTATATTCTTCTCGTATAACAGTGGTTAAATCGAGAAAAAAAATAAAGTGACAGTGCCTATATGCCTATCGCATCTTCAGTCTACTTTAATACAATACAATCGTTTCTTTTTCTTTTCAATACTGTCTTCGTGTATAGTCCGTCAATGAGTTGGATATATTGTTCTTTATGAAGCGAACAACAATAACCCGTTTAGAAATTAACCGAGATTCACGTAATTATTCTTTGAGATATTTTTAATTCCTCACTTCTTGTGAGCAAAATGTCATTCATAACTTCAGAGCGATGTGTTGAGCGTAGTATTTTTGAGACTTCTCGTTTACCCTATATCATCACATAATTTCCGAAAGGTTTAGTTAACGCATCGTATTTTAATATACCTAATAATTCTGTTGGGTGTTTTTTTTTATATATTTTTTTTATTTTTAAATATCTTAGAAGGAGTTTTTTGAATAGTTTCACTTATTCATTAAAACAAAACATATAATTTTTGTATAGATGGCACCACCATTCGGCTTGATTATATGTGTTTCTCAGAATTGATTCAGTATCACTAAAATAATTTTGAATTTATACATAGAAAAAAAAGAGATTTTCTTGCAAAAAAATTATGCCATGAAAGTGTTATGTTAGTTTTTGATTGTCCATTATTAAATTACCAAGTTATTTATTCTTTGAGATCGAATTGAATTTTCGCTGAATAATTTTTTCCGTAATCCTTTTTTATCTTACAAAACCTCTTGATGTCCTAATCCTGATATATTCTTCTGCTCTTATACTCTAACTAATATCCCCTTATCGTCTCGTTTTTCCTATCTTGACTATTATTTCTTCATCCTTTCGCGTTAATCCTTTCTACTATCAAATTACCCTTCCTTTTATTCTATTCTAATTATTATTTCTTCATCATTTCGTCTGTTTTACTCTCGCTATTATTCAATCATTCTTCCCTGTGTTTTACCACAACCATTGTCCCTTCACCTCTTTGTCTGTTTTTCTCTAACCTCTATTATCTTGCCTCTTTGTTTGTTTTGTCCAAACTTTTATCCACGTGTTCTTTCGTTCGATTTACTTTGAGTATACCCTTCTCCTTTTTTGTAGTAGTATTACAGATATAGGTGTAGCCTGCTTTTATCTAGTCCTTGAAAAGTCACCATAAATTATACTTTTGCTTCTTTCCTTTCAACGTTACTTGTTTTACACATTTTACCCTAAATATGTATCTCATTCATTCGCATCAATCTACTTGGCATTTCTTCATAACTTCATTCACCAGATTTACGACATTTTTCCTAGAGAAATGTCGCCGTTATGGTGCAAGAAGTGGAAATACTTAATATACTCTAATATCTCTTCCTATTTAGTTTTATAATGAAATCTTGCGTTAGGTTGTTGTAGGTATTGATAATATAGGATTCATTTCTTACTTGTGGTTAGCATTTTTTTCGATAGAAGAAGATATTAGAGTATGTTAAATATTTGGACTTTTTGCATCGTAACCACGATACTTTAGAAAAATTTCATAAATCTAGAGAACGAAGTTATTGAGAAATGTTAAGTAGAGTAATGTGAATGAATTAAATACATATTTTGAGTAGAATATGTGAAACAGCTGGTGTTGAGAGGAAGAAAAGAAAAGTATACAATTTAAACGCTTTAACATAGGAAGGAGTATTGTTTTATATGGATACAACGCGTCATAGTGGACGCGTTTTGGCTGATATGTAGCCGTTTTTACCGATAAAATGATGCGTTTGAACGCGTTTTGAAACCTGCGTTTAACTTCTAGCGAAAACATATGAACATAAAGATAAACGCGTTGGAACGTAACCTTTTAAAATAAAGTTTTCGTGGGTGGGATAAAAGTGTCCATAGTCTAGAATGTGGAGGTTTTTATATACAGAGATTTTACTATATATGCTATATGAGACATGACATTGGTTAGAGTTGATTCCAAGTTCGATGGTGCATAAGATTCTTGTTTCCATGATCTGTCAATACTAATATCACGTGTTCGTATTATTTGCGTGACATGATTACTACAAGTGATGCGATTTTTTCGGATTGAATTTAAGTTTTCTATTTATCTCACTATGAAAATGACACTATTCTTGAAATAAAAACTGCAAGGTTTTCATGAGAGAAATCATCCAGATGATTTTCGATGGCGTGAAACGCAATAATTTTTATGTTAAGACCATTAAATTGAAATTTATTCTGTATTACTTTGTGCTGATTGTTCAATATGCGCTTCGTGATATTGCGAGATTAAGTCATCGTCATTAGAGGCATTAAACGGATCATTTCATTTGTAGAAATTGTGGGAAAATATTTAATATGCATACAATCGAAAGGCAAATGGTTTGCGTTTCAATGCGATAGACTTGCACAAAGATAGCACAGCTTTCGAGTAAGATTATATCTTAAATGGAATCTAGCTAAACATACTTTGATCATCTTCATCAGTACTTTTCGACGTTGAAATGTTGCTAATAAGGGAAATACCCCAACTGATTCCGAGCATTCGGCTTCGTCTGTTGGCCATAGGTAAGCATCAGTGAAACTAAGAAAATCATAGAAGCATTCGTGTTTATGGCTCTTCCTTCCCGAGATATGATCACGAATATGTCCTAAAAAGTGCTTTCTCTTCGTTTTTTAAACTAACGCTCATATGCGATCAGAATTGTTTGAAAGTGGGTGTGGGAGTGGGCATGGGTGGGGTGTGGGTAAGAGATGTCTCTTCCCGATATATGATGGGAAATTCGAATTTGTGGTAAAATCATATTCTTTAAAATCATCTCTATTTGTAACAAAATAAAATTATGCCGCTATAGTGGTATAGCTATATACTGCGTGGAATATTTTACTGCTTCTGATTGGTTAGTTTTGGAATTTGCCGCAAATTTAAGTTCCCCATCAACACTCTTTCCGATTCATCCACACCCACACCTCATACCTACATCCACACACACCCAGTGGTGCAACCAAGGGGGAGGCAAATGGTGAATTGCCCATTTCGCTTGGAGATTTGCTCATTGCAGTTTTTATTAGTAATGTATTGTCCATTGAAATTTTACTTTTTCAGAATTGTTTGTTTATTTTTGAATTAGATAGTAACTGTAATTTTTTTCTTCCTCCTGAATCACATATGTACTCTTTACTTGTTCTTTCTGTGAAGAATTGAGAAAACGAGAAGAAAAGAATCGCTCCTTGTATTTTAACTGTAAGTTTGGGTGAACATGAGTTCAGTTTTATTGGGGAATCACTAACCACGTAAAGGTCGAGAAGAATAGATCAAGAAGAACACAGAGCAAGAGAACACACACAAACATATATACATAAATAGAGTGACGCACGTATACAAGAGAAAGGAAAAATCCAATGATGGATATGTGGAAATATAAAGGAAAAAACCAAAATGTGAAATGACCTAGTTCATAAGGATTTTGGTGTTTGAATTTGAAAAATAACTATTTTCAAACCGTGGCATTAATAATAGAGTAAAACACACGTGACTCAGGCTTAAGATTTGAGTTTGGTGTATATTTGATTAAAAGAACCTCATTTCATTTTGGTGTTTTTTTACGGTATCAGCATTTTGCTGGGCCGAACAATTTTTGGTCTGTCAATAAAAACCTTGCCCATTTTACCTATGGTTTTCTTCCGACACAAGAGAAGTTTGCTCATTGGTCTAAAAATCCTGGTTACGCCGCTGCAGACACCCACATTTCCACCCCCACCTACATCCTCAAGCAATGTGCAAAAGCAATATGTAATGATCAATTGGATTAAAGAGTTTATGAGTCATAATTTCATGCTTATTCCTCTTCTTGTTGTCCCTCTTGAGATATTTTTCAATTCTGAAGAAAAAAGAATCATTTTTGTTGATGAGTCATGCCCACGCAATTGACACATTATTTCTTTGCTTTGTCAACAGTATTTATACGACTCCTTTTTACAACCATAGCGAAAAAACAACTATTACACGACTTTGCAACAAAATGTACAGCTTTTTCCTCATATTTTACTTTTTCTTCTTGACGCTATGAGTGACGATTCAAGTATGGTTGGCGTCATGTAGATTCATACAAATTAGTAACTCTGTGAAGCACACGTAATGTTGCGGCAATTCAACGATCAAAATGAGATTTATTTTCTGACTTTTTCAATATGGTTGAATGCAGCACATCGAATGGTATATGGAGACATCTATTCTAGATTCTTCTATTCGTTTTTCGGAAGTAGGTTTTGACATACCCTTCTATACCGAAAGTGTTCACATGAGACATAGATAATATTTTTGACTTGATCGTTTATACTGATTTTTAGAAGTGGTTAACTCAGAATCTCCACGCAAAATCATTAACCAAGAAGTGGATTTCATCAAACCCTAGTCTCAATCCTGTTTATTCCTTGAGAAATCCTGGAAGGATACATCAGGATCCTGAATGTCAAGGATCTTGCCAAGTTTTCTTCAGGATTCTTCCCAGATCTTTTTCTAAATGATGAGTGCAGGATCCTCTCAGGATTTGATCAATTGCAGCTGAATCTGAGGAGAATCACAACAAGAATCCAACAAGAGGATGAACCACTGGCTGAGACTGTTAGGCAACATTAGATGAACCCGTATTCACACCCAGTACCAAATATTGTTTCCAGAATGATTGTCGGTTCAAAAAATAGTTGTTAACTACTAAAGTTCCTGATTGAATCCTGTTTCGAATCCTGTCAGTGTTGAAACTCAGTGTCTACACACTTCTTTCAATATTTAATAGCTTTCTGGGCGATTCCTGATTCAAAATCAATGGTAATCTGTTCAAGATCCTGATTAAATCCTGTTTCAAATCCTACCAGGATCTTGAAATTCCGTAGCTACACGCTTTCTTCAGGATTTAGTTATTTCCTTAGGAAAAAATAGCGAAGCCTTGAAGGATCCTGGCTGAATTCTTTAAGGATCTGACACGGAAATATCAAGGATTTTTCTTAGGGGAAGGAAACGAAAAACGACCGAGTATTCGTAAGCTCACCAGTAAGATTCTGAATAGATCAAATGTAGCCACTGGGACTTCTAACAAATGTATTGAGTCTTCATCACTACGACATGGGCTGATTTTTATTTAATGATATAACCACTCCAACTAAACAAAAAAATTACAGCTAGATTTTCCATTATTTAGTACATGTGTTGATAAATTTCTTTGTTTCGAAACTAGCACTGATATAGCGAAGAGTGACCCTTATGTCAAAAGTATTCGTACCAGAAAGGTGTCTTACGAGTTAATCTCTATGATATTCGAAATCAGTATTTAAAAAAAAACTAGCAGCACAATATAAACTTTCTCGACACGTATTTTTCGTCAGATTTTGATGCGTGATGGACCCCAACAAAATTCTTTGACGGGAAGTACAGGTTGGTTTTAGATGAAAAAACGTTTCCGAGAAAACCTATATTGTACTACACAGTTCATTCATACTGATTTCAAATATTATAGTCGTTTACTCGTAAAACATGTTCCTCATACAAAGAGCTTTGACATCAGAGTCACTCTTCGCTATAACAGTGCTAGTTTCGAAACAAAGAAATTTATCAACACATGTACTAAATAATGGAAAATCTAGCTGTCATTTTTTTGTTTAGTTGGAGTGATTATATCATTAAATAAAAATCAGATCATGTTCTAGTGGTGAAAACTCGATGCATTTCTGAGAAGATTCGTTGCTTACTTCTGATATCTTCAAAATATTGCTGACGATCTCACGAATATTCGGTCGCTCTTCATTTTCTTTTTATAAAATCGACTTCTCTATAGACAGTTTTGCATGAAGATTTTAAATCAAGCACTTCTAAAAATCAACATAAACTACCTAGTCAAAAATATAGTCTACATCTCATGTGAACACTAATTTTGAGCCCTTTTTGTAAAGAAGAGTATGTCAAGACTTTTTTCCGAAAAAATGAATAGAAGAGTCTAGAATCGATGTCTCCATGTACAACTCAGTATGTTGTATCCAATCGTGTCGAAAAAGTTGGTAAATAAATTTCATCTCGATCTTCGATTTATCGGCACATTATAATCGTAAGTACATATTTTACATTAGCTAATCTTGGTCTCGCTGAAAAGGGTATCAGAAAAGAATGGAAATTTTGTGGAAAATATAAGCGAACTTGACGTTGGTGAAATTTTTTTTTCCAAATCTTCTTTCATTATGAAGTATTTCAATAATATATCAAGTTGATTCTTTCTTATCTTTTCGAATCTTTTAATTTTTGAACTTTCACAATCGAACAGTTTGTCACTCTTCACTTTGATATGCATCATACATCAAAAAAGTATGTAATATTTTGTCTCAAACGTAATAGTCTGTTAGATTTATTCGACAGATATGTGTTTTGTTTTTGAAATACTTTACAGGCTAAGGTAACTTTTTATTAAAATAGTTATATATGCGACACTCATTCTCTTTGTTAAAACCTTTCTGGAGGTCAGTATATTGAAGGAGATGCTGAAATTTCAGATTTCATCAGCGATAATATCGTCGATTCATACAATGGCTGCTGCTTTATATGATATTCATGATGGCACATGGTTACCTACCATCATCGATCAATTATGGTGCCCAACATGTTCCTCCCAAACGGAAGATGTTCCTTTTTGTGAAACGTGTCAACGAATATTTCTGCTCCTAGTAGAAAATCTTCCTGATAATGACCAATCGAAATCAATAACGTCTCGTTCTCAATATACAAGAAACGACAAAACTAAAAATGAGCAATTGGATGTATATGATCAATCAAAAACTACTTCAGTAAGTCATTTATTTAGTCAATAATTTAGCAGTAGCTGTGTTGTTTTTTCATTCAGGATGATACTCAAACAACTTTGATCAACTCCGGAATGCTAGAATCTATGTCATTAAGTGTTCGTGATCGTCGGCATCAGCATGAATCCGATGCTGAAACCATATTTCAAAAAATAATTAACTATTGTAGAAAGGTATTTGAAAGCATCAATAATTTTACTATGCAGTTATCGAAAAGTATAGTAGACTAATGTAAACTTTTTTCTTTTCTCGTTGATTTCAAAAGTCGAACATGTTGTTTTATAATTGGAAAGGAGAAAATTGAAGTTCCCAATTTAACATATAGGAAATTGTTAGAAACGGAGTTATTCAAATCTTTTATATCCTTCACATCTAACGTAAGACAAAAAGGAACGACTATGAAGTCATATTTAATTATTGAACATATTCAATAAAACACTTTTTGATGTTCGTATATCATTTATATGTCTAGAATAAGACACATTTTATCGACGATCAATTTCCTCATTCAGCACGATTTATTGGGTCAGACTCATTCACACAAGTTTCCAAATGGCTACGAATATCAAATGTTGCTCCATCATCTGATAGTGATCGTAAATTATCATGGACAATATTTTCGTCACCTACACCGAGTGATATTCAACAAGGTGCTTTAGGCAATTGTTGGTTAGTAGCTGCTTTAGCTTTGATTTCTGAACGACCTCGTTTACTTGAACACATTCTTCTTACAAAAACAGTCAATAATGAAGGTGTTTATCTAGTACGCATTTGTCATAATGGTTTGTGGAAAACAATTATTGTTGATGATTACTTTCCATGCACAAAACATAACCAGCTAGTCTTTACTCAAGCCAAGCGTCGTCAATTGTATGTTCCGTTGATCGAAAAAGCATGTGCAAAACTATTTGGCTCGTATGCCGCTCTAAGAAGTGGAAATATGCGTGAAGGTCTTCAATTATTGACTGGAGCACCATGTGATTATATTGATCTTAAACCATCGGATACTACACTTGATGATGATATTATCTGGGCTAAACTTATATCTGCTTGCGAATTAAAGTAAATTGAAGATAAGCTATTGTAAAATGAAAAGAGAATTTTTACGGTTTAGATTATTGATTGGAGTATCATCAGGTGGAACTGGTGTGAGCTCAGAAGAATATGCTCGTGTTAATATTCATGATAATCATGCTTTTTCTGTCCTTGCTGCAAATGCACTCGGCAGTAAATCATCTCGATTTGTGCTTGTTCGTGATCCTCATTCTCATTCAGATTATCGAGAAAAATCAGTGGCAGATAGTGTTCTCAAACAATTACATTTAGTTAATCCTGCGCAACGTTCTACAGGTGCTTTTTGGATATCATGGCCTCGATTTCTTCGTTATTTTTCATCATTAACTATTTCAACTTATGATAGTGATCTATTTGATATACGTGAACAAGGTAAATTTACTCAATCATGTACTCAATCTGTTATGACTTATCATTTTCATGTGCCAAAGTAAGTAGATAATTATGTTCAATTTTATTTTGAGCTAATTTTATATGACATATTTAGAACGTCATTCATCAACATAAGTTTGATATATCATCGGCATGATCGAAAAACACATAGTTCTCATACTCAGTCATTCGTTCTATGCGATGCTGATGAATTAACATCAACTGGTACTGTCGGTAAACGAGAGACTATATTGATATGTAAACGTGGAGGTTTCACATATTGGACAGGATCATTACAAGCTGGTTATTATGTACTTATACCTTTCTCTATTAGTTTCTGGCAGCATAATAAACAAAATAGAGATTTTACGCTTGTCATACATTCAAGTGTTCAACTTGATTTAACTATGAAATATAAACCAGCAACATTTCTTGCTGACTGCCTAATTTCAGCTGTTATAAAAAATTCCAAAAAGAAACAGGTCTGTCTGTTTGTATTTCTTGAAGACATATTGATTTAGCAATAAATTCTTTTTTCAAGGGCAAAGATGCTGTATTTTATACAACATCTGGCAAATTAGGAATGAAGATATTCATCGTCGAGAATGTATCAATAAAAAATTATCTAAGTTTGGATATCGATGTACAGCTGGCAAAAAATGTTCGTCATTCTCGCTTGATTAAGTTTCCTAATAGCACTCATGATTGTATTCCACCACGACACCGTCAAGTGATATGTATTACAGAATGGATTGATAAACATGGAGAATCGGCTTGTTTGGATTATAAGTATTCGCATCAACATGAAAACCAAGCGACTGATCCAAGACCACCAATTAATATTTCTCAATACGACATGCACTCACCACGAGGATTTTAGTTTTATATTGTAAAGTTCATTATCTATTTGAATTTGATAATAGGAGTCGTTTTATTGATGTTTGAAATCAACAGATTGTTTTCAATGTTTGTTCCAATGACATGTATCTCTCCCAAGAAAATATATTATATCGTCAAATGATGTTCTAATGAATATAATGATCTTAGATTGAAACTATTGTTATTTCATCGCTTTCTATTAATCTGGGAGATAGAAATGCATACATCAAGCACTGATCATTAATGCTTTTTCAGACTTTCCGCACTCTAAGATCTTGTTTGTAATTGATTTCATCTATGACTGTTTTCATATAATTCTTTCGTTTGATCGCTTACCATTATTTGATTTTCAATTATATTTTTCGCATATTTAATGATACAAACAAGTGTCAATATTTCATTTGTCTAGAGAAAATACTCGATATGTTATTGAATTGGCATTCAAATCTGTATTAATAAAGAAAAATGATGAAATGAATTCTATTTCTAAATAGAAGCAGTACATCAAACAATTATTTTATAATTTTATAGAATGCAGAATCGTCTGTGACCATTATAATTTTGCGAATTTAATTCTTTAAGACTGTTAGCTAATCTGAAATGGGATCTATTATATTTTTTTCACAATTTGACCCTATTTGATGATCTTTTTGTTTTTTTACTAAAATATCGATCATCATGATTTTATCTTAAAAGTACAAATAACAGAGGTAATGACGTTGCTGTGGAGATTGAAGTTTTTATTAGTCTTTTAATCCATCATTTGTCAAATCTTTTCTCTCAAAGTAAAATCAACATGCTCACGTACACACATACTAGCGAATGGAGAAAGAAAGCACAGAACACGAAATATTTCTTCGTCATTTGTAATTATGCACACAGAAAGTACATAATCGTGTTTTATTTTTGAGAGTAAAATATCATGTATGCAATAATGTTGTCCCAATATCTCGTCTCTAGTATGCTTTCTCATGATTTATTCATTCTTACGTTATACAAAGGACAATTACGTCCAGTACGGTGAAGAAAATATCATCACTCTCTTACCAATTCTTTGCTTTTGACCACTGGACAACGTAGTTTCATATTCAACGGTGAAGTTATCGTATTCCTAAGGAATATGGGGAAAGTCCAATCACGGCAAGAAAGAGAAATGCGTTTATTTCATCTATGTTAGGGCGAGTTCTGATAAAATCATGAACATTGACCATCTTATTGGCTTCGTATACTTGTTCACTCGTAGTGAAATCGAGTCCAAAATATAATATTTTTATAAATGTTAGTCTCAAATAAAACTGACTCTTGGCTCACCACAAGAATTTATTTTCTTAACCAGCGCAGATCTTATTCTTTAATGGCATGAGGATGTAGATGAGTATTTTCTCTTCACTAAACAATAAATAAAATGAAAATTAGATTATTTGATTTTCAAAAATCATCTTACATAGTTGCCTACCAAATGGCAAAACTATAATATTTAGTTGAGTCCTAAAAACTTAATGAACGAAATTCGAAACATGAACATTTAATCACTATTTCAATGAAAAAACGTTCGTGTAACGTACGTAAATCTACAAAACCAAAATGGCTAATTTTCTTTTTAATCATTCTGTTTTTATTATTATAAAAGAATATGAAGACGATTACTTCTTTAAAACTTATGTATAATTTTCTTTGTATTTTTCTCTCGAGAATATGAAAAAAAAACGGTCAGACTTCGAACAATTCTTGAATATAAATACACAAATAATTATTTCGTTGAAAATTGAGAATACTTCCTATTCCCAAAATTTACACATTCCTGCATCGCCTTCTGACATGCAATCCCTTACCATCAATTCCGGAAAAGCAAAAACGACCCTTTCCCTCAAAAAAATGCAACAACCCGGAATTCCGAAATTTCTGCATATGCGGAATCACTCGGACACGCAGGAATTCTGGGTCATTGCTGCCTATTCCGGAATTTGTGCACAACCGTAATCATTGGGATATGCAGGAATTCCGGGTCATTCCTGCCTATTTCGGGTCATTCATGCCTATTCCGGGTCACTCCTACCCATTCCGCGTCATTCCTGGCTATTTCGGGTCATTCCTGGTTATTCCGGGTAATTCCTGCCTATTCCGCAATTACAAGCATGCCATGGATGGCTAAATGATCATTTCTCGAGCTTCAAGAAATGCAAAGCGGAAATACGGAATTTGTGCACAACGGTAATCATTGGGATATGCAGGAATTCCGGGTCATTCCTGCCTATTCCGGGTCACTCCTACCTATTCCGGGTCATTCCTGGCTATTCCGGGTCATTCCTGCCTATTCCGGAATTACAAACATGTCATGGATGGCTAAATGATCACTTCTCGAGCTTCAAGAAATGCAAAGCGGAATTCCGGAATTTGTGCACAACGGTAATCATTGGGATATGCAGGAATTCCGGGTCATTCCTGCCTATTCCGCAATTACAAACATGCCATGGATGGCTAAATGATCACTTCTCGAGCTTCAAGAAATGCAAAGCGGGATTCCGGAATTTGTGCACAACGGTAATCATTGGGATATGCAGGAATTCCGGGTCATTCCTGCCTATTCCGGGTCATTCCTGCTTATTCCGCAAATACAAACATGCCATGGATGGCTAAATGATCACTTCTCGAGCTTCAAGAAATGCAAAGCGGAATTCCGGAATATGTGCACAACCGTAATCATTGGGATATGCAGGAATTCCGGGTCATTCCTGCCTATTCCGGGTCATTCCTGCTTATTCCGGGTCATTCCTCCCTATTCCGCAATTACAAACATGCCATGGATGGCTAAATGATCATTTCTCGAGCTTCAAGAAATGGAAAGCGGAATTCCGGAATTTGTGCACAACCGTAATCATTGGGATATGCAGGAATTCCGGATCATTCCTGCCTATTCCGGGTCACTCCTACCTATTCCGGGTCATTCCTGGCTATTCCGAGTCATTCCTGGTTATTCCGGGTAATTCCTGCCTATTCCGGAATTACAAACATGCCATGGATGGCTAAATGATCACTTCTCGAGCTTCAAGAAATGCAAAGCGGAATTCCGGAATTTGTGCACAACGGTAATCATTGGGATATGCAGGAATTCCGGGTCATTCCTGCCTATTCCGGGTCATTCCTGCTTATTCCGCAAATACAAACATGCCATGGATGGCTAAATGATCACTTCTCGAGCTTCAAGAAATGCAAAGCGGAATTCCGGAATATGTGCACAACCGTAATCATTGGGAT